GTTTGTGGCCATCCTCAACACATTTACATACAGCTATTTTGTTTCAGTGTAATATTAGTTTATTTTCAATGTAATTTTTAATTTTTAAAAACATTTTATTTATTTTTTTTATTTTTTTTTTAGATTGTTTTTTGTTAAGACCCGGACGGGCAAGAAGGCATGAGTCCTGTTTTACACAAATGTGACGCCTTGGCTTAGTTAGCAGGAAAAGCAGGACTTTACCTTTGTCAATTAAGATTATGGAACAAGCACAGAAAGAGTATAAAGAGAGTGGCATCACATAACTAATAATCCTCTGATTGGAAAGATATTAAAATCCAAATAGAAGGAGGAGAACAGTTTCTAACAAGAAAGCATCAGGAAGAAAAGCTTTTTTGTCTCTGACAGAGGACGGAGCACTGACTGACATTTATCTCCTGGAGATCCAGTGTCCAGCACTTTATTCTGGTCAGAACAGTCTCATCCCTAAATGCTGGTTTCCAAGCAGACACGGCACTTAACAGGAATCAGCTGATTGTAATGATTTGAGCCAAAGCCAAAAGGGTTTAGGGGCTCATGTTTCCCCCAGGAAACAGTTCACATCATTTATAGATAAATTCATTCAAGTATTTGACACTGTTTTAATTAAACCACAAGCATGAACAAATATCAGGACAGAGTACGTGAAAGAGAAGCTTTAAGATTTTGGTATTAGATGACTTTGTGAGCACCTTTCTGAACCCTCAGCCTTGACATTAGTTTTTGTTCATTTTTGTTTTCTCAAAGCCAGAAATTGGATGAGAGACTCCATGAAAGAAGCTGTCGCATGACCTACTAAAAACTTGACATGTCTGAGTTTAAACAGCTTTTGTGTTTGTTTTTCGGAGGAGAAATCCATAAAAGCTTCCGAAGTAAAGAGCCGGTCTCGTTGTCAGCTGCCGGAAACACCCAGAGAGCGAGCGGTTACAGGCGTGAACCCAGGCCAGCCTCCACGGTGTCTCTGAGCACCGCCTGCTGTGGAAACCAGGACACTTATTAAGGTTAACCATTCATCTCCACGTCCTCCTTTGTGCCTCAGCCTCATTCCCTCAGCTTGGTTTACTCGAGTGTCCTCAGCTGTTTTTATTTCTCCTGAATAAAAGCTGCCCTCGGGACATAAAGGAGCCATCTCTGGTTCCACAGA